GTCATACAAATAAACAACAAATTTAATTTATTCGAGAAAGGCAAAGAAATCTCTAGTGAAACTGCTTATTCTCAAAGTAAATCTTTGCGATCGATTTAATGTGTTCTTAATAAAATCCATTTCCTTTCTTATCTGAATCGGTGACCAACATGTACGCGTTATGTAGGTCCCGTTTCCATGGCTACGGTCTCGCACAGCCACGGTATTATGGAGTCGTTGACCTCTCGCAGATTGGCAACACTTTCGTTTTAAATGTAACAACATTTCTTTGACTACTTTCCGACTGACTCGCCAGGGGTCCGATCAATCGCTGGATTTATTTTTGAGAGAATCGAGACTGACAGACTGTTTATACTGGTGGTAGGATCTCTTGGAAGTCCGCACGGTGCGGGTAGGTACCACCACTCTGCATATTTCTGTCGTGAAGCAGTAATGCGTTTCGGTTTGAAGGGTGGGGCAGCCGTTGTAACTATACTTGAGACCTTAGAACTCATATCTCAAAGTGGGTGGTGGCATTTACGTTGTAGATGTCCGGTAACCACTTAACTGTGGGCTGTGAGTTCATCCACTGATCCATTCAATAAAAAAAGACAACATCGGCACTCAACAACCAGTGGCCCGTGGCAAACATAATCGGAAAATCATAGGTATTTACCATTAGAAAAATTTGGTGATTGTATTTAATAGAGGTATGTGGAATTTTATAGAAGAATAACCGGTTTTTCACAACGTGAATCGGCCGTGGCCATCGAGACCAATCTACCTAGCATTTGAACACAAACGACTTCCGCCATGAAGGACCTTCGTCGTGTCATAAAACTTATTCGTGTAAGTAATTAAGGCAGAGCTATTATTGATCAGGCACCGTCAATTATCTCTTAGGAAAGCGGGGTAACAATTATCTGATTGAAAAAGTTTTCACTTCGATACATCCGGAAGCGACAACCAAAAACGTTACATCGAGATTAGGAATCGAACTGAGCACGCGATCCGTGCGCGATTCAGACGATTGCACTTTTTCGTTTAACAACCTATATCAAACTTCCGGCGTTATGTAAATTTACGTAAGAATAACAAATTAAAATGATACTCAATTGATTCCGCGCTGTTTCCTAAAATTATTGAAGTTATACTTCTTTAGGCGCGTTATGAAAAATTGATGAGAGTGAAATTTTACGATGCGCGCGCACCGTGACACAAAATTAACAGAATGAAGTTGCCCACTAAATTGCTCATTACAATACGACCGACGTAACTTGGCGAGTCTGAATATAGGCGCAGGTGAACTTTCGCGCATGTACACTCGTAAAAAAAAGTGTTATTAGCATTCATTTTTTAGTAATATAAATGACAAAATTATTATTTAATATAATTCATACTAAATATTATTAAGTTATTAACGTTAAATGTTTATTATTAATTATTTAATATTAAAAAAAAAGAAATAAATTTAATAAAAATAAAGTATAACTTCTTACGCGTGTACTTAAGTACGCGCCCCCTTTTTTTTTGTAGTGCTTTCCGCCAGCTGTGGCGCTACTGAGCTATTGTCGCCATCAATGGGTGTGAGTGATCAGTCTTAAACTTCGCAATGCCTAATCATGAGCGTTAAATACCAAGTACTCTGGCAGTTTTCAAATAAATCGACCACGTCTGAACATACCAGTACGTACATTCATACTTCATAAAAACTGAAAACAATGGAACAGGAACTTATCGAACGCGGGACCTTTTTTTCGGGCAGGGTACCGAACCTTTTACGAGGTATCCGCTCCTAGCGGGTACGCGGAGTATGTGGGACTTAACGGTCTGCAGATGTTTTGAGAAAACCGCGGCCCAAGAATATTTTAGGCCCCTCCGTACCAAAAGATTCTTGCACTTTCTCACCCGACGTCCGATCTCCGCCCGGAACCCATGGCGGGACCTAACCTAATCTTTGGTGCATGGATTCATTGAACATTCTTATCGAATAAAATAAGAAAATTTCAATTAACGCCGATAAGTGATTGAACAGCAAGTGAACTGTCCGACCGTAATACTATACATAATACGTAACACGTATAATACGTAATTTCCAAAAATAGAATAAAAGATATTATAAAAATACAGAAAAACTAATAAAACGTCATATTCAGTATTGGCATTTGAAAATCTAAATTTCAATCACGCTTTTTTACAATAAAACTACGAATAAATAATAAGCAATAAACTCATTTTTACTTACACTATTTTTAATTCAAATTTATTAAAATTTTATTTTCTATTGTTTAGTTGGATTTTCGATAAAAGCACTTTTTTAGTTTTTTAAGCTATTACTTATTTATTTTTAATATTTTATCAATATTTTTTTTTAAATATTGAATTGTGATCGGTCCTTAATAAGTATGCCAAATTTCGAGTTAATCCGACGTTTTAAGGGGGTCAAAATCATGTTCAAAGATTCCGTTACATACTAACAACATACATACGTCTGAAGCTAATAAAAGCGCCATAAAAATGGATAAAGTAAAAGAAAATCCAAAAGAAGAAACAAAAAAGTTCCTCCTTCCTTATGGCATGTGGATAGATGGATTACTGAAGATATAACCCAAGGAGGGTTGATGTCAGGCAGGCTGCCAGTCGTAAAGCTCAGGCCAAATCCCTCTGCAGCATGAGAGGACATGCTGCGCCGACCACACACAATGTGGTATAAGGGCAAGACGAAGAAGAAGAAGATAGAACGATAGATGGTTCCGTTCCGAATAGCTGGTCGATAGATAACTTCAAAGAATAGATAGAAAAGAAGTTCACGTAACGGACATACGGAGAAATATCCACAAAGAAGTCCAATCAAGTCTTTTTGATGTCGATAAAAACAAAGTAGGTGAAAGTTTTACTCGAGTTTTAGTGTTTTTTATGAAAATTGCGCAGCTCGAAACTATAAGCATTCATAATGGTGGGATCGAGACTTTCACCGTCCACTGTACAGACGGATTGTTTTTTATTTGATTACATTTGCCGTTTACGGTTTTTCCTATTTTTGTAACTGCCACCGCTCCATAGTAACTATAATACATTTAGCGTTATATGGCGGCGTTTTAAGAGCTTTTTTACTTGTGTTTAGTTATCAAATGTTAAGCCTTAGCGTACGCCTCCAACGATACAATTTGTGCAGTTACAAACCTCCTCTAAGAATTTGATGAAGTAATCGTCATTCTAATATGATTGAAAGTTCAATCTTACATCGCAAGGAGGCGTGTACATTGTGATATTTGAAGTTGCAGTAGCTCAAACAGCTAATTTCAAAGACATATTTTTTCAGTAACAGTTCCATTTACTAATGTGGACAAAATCAGAGATTCTTAAAATAATTATCGGTGTGTATCACGAAACGAGATGTGGTAAAAATATTATAATTTAAATATTGCAAAAAACATGACTGCTCTATAAAAAAAAAGTATTATTATTTATAGTTCATGTCACTCGAGAAGATATTAGAATTCCAACGATACTCCATACATTGAAATCTGTTCAGGCTTTTGAAAGTAATAGTGGAATAAAAAAATTAACACGCATGAACCCTGAAAAAGATACACCCCTACAACCTTACTATAACTAAGGAAACTATAGTAGCAATTAAACTAAATCTAATCACCAGATTGCTCCAGCAGAGACACTAACTGCCATTAACTTTGTAGACAAGCAGCCAACCGTGAGCACTCGTGAACGCGCTTCACATTTACATGTGACTGTGAAGTCATAGGATGGCCGGGTTGTGACTTATATATATATTTTATAATAAAACGACGAGCTCTGCGTGTGACTTGTATTATTGGCGGAAGTAGTCTGACTGTATTGCCATAGATAAGGTACATTCTTTACCTGACATCTCCCCTTTTAAGTTATAGACTAAACTTATTTTTAAGGTAAGTACAATACTTTTCTTATATGACTAATTTCCTTAGTAGCTAAGACATTATGAAATATGACTGACTATTTACAAACAATACTTAAATTAATATCTTATGAACTTATGACTAATAATTACAAAAGCGTTGAGGAGGTCTAATAATACGTCCGGAACGTGTTGTTTTCGGTAATTGACTAATATCTTTTCCTTTTTTAGGTATCACTGTTTCTTTGGAGACTGGAACTACAGGTTTTAGTATGTGCTCCCGATTTCTCCTGAATATTCCTTCTGGGGACTGAATAGTATAACTACGAGGTTCGTTTTCAGCTTGTTTTATACGACCTGGAACCCATGAACTATTGGGCTTGTGTTTGAAATATATTTTATCACCAACTTGTAAATCTGACAATTGTTTTGTGTGTTTATTATAATAAAACTTTGAATATTCTTTCTGCTTTTCAATATTTTTAGATAATGTTTTAATATCGACTAGTGAAGGTGATAATTGAGTGTCTGTGACTGGTATTTTAGTGCGTAAACATCTAGACATACATAATTGTGCTGGAGAATAACCACTTTGTTTTGGTGTATTCCTGTACATAAGCAATGCAATGTAAGGATCTGTATTGTCTGCTTTACATTTATTCAATATATGCTTAACTGTACCAATTGTTCTTTCAACCATACCATTTGACCGACTGAAATATGGACTTGACTTTATATGCTTAATATTCCAATCAATTGTAAATAAATGAAACTCTTTGGAATTAAAAGGTGGACCATTATCACTAATCTATAGTTTCAGGTATGCCATGTCTAGAAAAATTG